AAAGTATATTAAATAAAATTAAAGATGTTTTAAAAAAAAAATAGACAAAAAAAAATTTTTTTTTAAATATTTTATTTTATTTAATATGATTGGTTGATCTGAATTTTATCAGGTTAGATCATAAGCTTGACCTACCTGATGTTGATCTAAAAATTTATCTACCTGACCTGGATTTTTCAGGTCAGATCAGGTCAGGTCACAGGTTAACCTGACCTGATTCAGAGCTTTACATAATGGTAACTTTATAGTCTGTTAATATCTTCATAACATAATAGTAACTTCATAGCCTATCAGTAACTTCATAATATAATGGTGATTTCATAATCTAATTACATAATCTAGTGGTAATTTCATAATCTAATATCATGATCTGATGGTCACTTCATAATCTACTCAATTTATTTTTTGGGTAGCTTCTTTGCATTTATAGTATTATTTTAATCTTTTTCTATATATTATGATAGTGATTTTATGGTCTAATAGTGGTTAGGAATGCTTTAATTTAATAGTGATATCATAATCTAATGGTGACTGCTTTCTTCTTGTTCCTAATTCGTTTACATAAAAATTCTATATTTCTGGTACTGGCTTTTCAGTCTTCTTTAAATGCTTTGTTTTATAATGAAGGTGATGGCCCTTTATATCAATTTGGTTACCAATTCTATATTGAGAATTTACGCATATTTGGTTGCCTCTTAAAATACTGAAATGGAGAGGTAACGGGTGGCGCAGTAACTTCGTGATTAATTTCGGCTGACATTATGCCATAATTTTGACTAATCTTTTGGGCATGTGATTTGAAGATCCAGCTTGACATCATAGCAGTGACCTGATAGTGTCCTGGAACTGTCATGAAGCTGATGAAGAACTGGCAGAAAGCTAGAGTAGTTCTATTAATTCGCCAGTTTCAGATCACTTATATTGCCAACTTGGATGCTAAGTTCTTATGCCCAAAGATCTAGCCGAAATTGTGAAATAGTTTTGGTCAAAATTAAGCAAAAATAGATTGTGTCTTATTATGCTACAGTTACGTGATACTATTCCAGACCAGAACACCCTTACATAGTTGCTAATGATCAGCTAAAAAAATTCAGCCAGAAATTATGGTATAGTGTTGACCGAAATGATAGACTAATTACATGCTAGTAATTAGCACTTTCCTGGCACTTTCTTGTTACTTTATCACAACTTTTGTATGACTTTTAAGGAATTGTATTCAGCCTATTTGATTACCAGGATTGGGTATACAATTTGGGAAATTAGGGCTGATGTCAATTTTACATCCCAAAGTTTATGTATATCTTAGCCGATCCATTTGATTGCAAAAAGTACATCATCTTGCAAGCTAACTATTACCTATTTATTACCGGCATATTGGCAGGATGTTGTAAGTACTTCTGAAGTCTGATCATGATTTAAACTGGGTCAAAGCAATAAGTATACTAATTTTTTAAGATAAATTTTGTTCCAAAAATCTGTTCTAGGGCAGAAATTTTACTGGATCACTTCCTAAGGCAGAGTTTGTTATAGGAGAAAGTGTTTTTTTTTCGATTCGACTTGTTCTTGTATTATCTTCCCTAGATGCCTTAGGTGACCTAGTAAAAATAAAGTTCTAGGAAAAAAAAATTGAATTTTATTATGCTATCTTTTAATATATATATTGGTATGCTATATATATATTATATATATGCTATATTTTTGCTATACCCTTAAAAAATAAAAATAAAAAGTAAAGAAGTCTGATTTTTCCTAGGCCACCTAAGGCACCTAAGGCAGACCATTCAAGAAACTATTTTAGCGTTCTAATAAAGTTAATTTGCTATTTTGCTTCTGCCTCTGAGAGCTAAAAATTTCCTAGAGCAAATTTTCCTAAGGCAGATTTTTCTAAGGCATCTAGCTTTTTCCTATGGTAATATGTTTTAGAATGATACTTATCTACATATAAATTACACATCCTGTGCTTTGACGTAGTGGGTTTTTCACACTGCTTGCAAGGGTTTCACTGACATCTTTTCTAATAGATTTAACATCCTTCTTACCAATCACAAACTCGTTCACACACGTTCCCTTCATTAAAAAGATATTGGCAGATAAATTCGCCTCTCATTTGGTATCTCTTAAATTTCTATAATTATTTTTTATTTAAACATTTTTTTCCAGAACAGTATATCCTGAGTTTAGGATATATTATACCTTTCAAAAATTTTACTATGACTGAACTTTCAGAGTTCCTCGATGCTTCCACCTCACTTTTTTACCTAGAGGCTGAAAAAGATAAAATGGAAGGCCAGGTAATTCGCTAATTTAGCAAAAAATACTTGACTAGCATTCCAACTCGAAATAATATAGTTGCAGAAAATAATGAGAGATTAACCGCAATTTTTGATGATGCTCCATTCAATCGTCAAGAAATTCTATTTATGGCCATTGATAATGAAGGGTCATCAGAAAAATAAATGGAAAGTACCGCTATGTATTACATCTTTACGGCTCTCTTATTAATGGCTAAAGGGCAATGGTAACACTTTCTGATATTCCTGTATTCTTTGACATTCTTGTACCAGACGGGAAGTGTCCGAATGAATGTGAAACAAAAGTAAGAGATATTCTCTCTGATGAGATGGAGACTTTAAAAATAGAATATATTAAAGCTTTCCCTTTTCGCAGTTATCATATGAAAAAAAGTCATATTTACAAATTTATATGAGTGGTACTGGTAAAAGAAAAATAGCCATTAAAGCCATTCAAGAAAATAACTTCAAAACTGCATCTGATAATTTATACTCATTTCATCAAAAGGTGAGTTGAAAAAATGGAATCTAACTCTCCGGATGGTCTATGTTAAGTAAATATATACATAAGAAAGGGATCAATCCTCTCTGTCCACATATATTCTATACTTCTAAAAAATATTTTCAGCTAGTGCTTTATAAGAAATTTGTATACGGAATTGTATACGGTAATAATACGTTTTAATATTCGTAAAAAATGTATAAAATATACTGAAATTATGTATAATATGTATGTAATTATTA